TTGAAGTAGGCAAATTTCCTCCAAAAATTGCACATTTTAGGGAGTTTTTATCAATTCTGACGAAATTAGAATTTAAAAAAACAAATTTTTTCGCGCGCTACGCGCGCATTTTTTAATGTTAAAGCTTGTGCTTGCTCTCCTTTGCCTTCTAAGTTAAAACACATAGTCCCAAACTCAAGAAAGAAAATTTAAGATAGATCGTTTTACCTAAAAGAAGGGCCTCAATGTGTAATGATGTTGAAAGAATATGTTTGTAATAAATAAAGCCATAAGGAAAATGCTTATATTCAGTTTTAAAAAAAGAGTGTGGCCATATATAACATAAGAGCATTTCTTGTTGAGGTAGGCCAATTTCCTCTAAAAATTGCACATTTTAGGGAGCTGTGATCAATTCCGACGAAATTAGAATTAAAACATAAAATAATACGTTTTTCTAACCGTTATACAATTAGCTTTTAGATCTAAAGCTCACTGGGAGTGAGTTACGCGATATTTGACGAATTTGGGGGAACGATTTAGCCGGAAAGTAGTAGACTGAACGGGGCTGAGGTGGTGTGGATTCCCGTCGAGAAACTTGGACCTTCACCTGACATCGTTACTGGTGTAAATAACTCACTCTTGGGTGAATGTGTGTGGATTGGGTGGGAATTCCTCTCTTTGGTTACAGATTAAAAAACTTAGCTTAGACAAGTCAGAATTTATGATAGGCCTAATTGGCAGTGGCGGATCCAGAAATTTGAAATATGGTGGGGGGGGGGCATGGAGGGACTTTCGGGGTTGTGGGTCTGTGTACACACAGGTTAGAAAATTTATGATTATGGCAAGTCTAGATGACCGGAAATGGCACTCATTTTTTCTCCATTTTTTTTTTTTTTTTTTTTTTTTTTTGGACCCATTGCCAAGCAACACGATAGCGTGTATTTCAATACTTTGGAGTATGTGTTATACTTTCTTATCTGAGATTAATCAGTGGACCTTTCGGCTAAACTAAATTGGTGTCCACTTTCAAATAAACGAGTTATTGATTGCAACATTCTAGTAGGCCTATACACAATTTTAAACAATATGGCCCCCATCATATCTAACTAATTGTTCTCTTTAACTAATAATAATTATGATTTTCATAAGGAAGGTAAATTAAAGTAATCTATATATTCATAAACCAAGAACTAATTATAAAAGAGTATTTCATACCTCGGAGCTATTGAATTGAACAAACTAAATTCAAAGTGTACAAATAATTTAAGCATTTTCAAAAAAACTTATTTCGTATGCCTTAATGTAATGCTAATAATTATAAATGTGCCTTATACGTTTTCTTGTGTTTTTTGTTTAGTGTAAAATAATATAATACTGTTCATATAAATTATTTTGTATACATTTGTTTATACTGTATTAAGCTTTTCCTTTATATTGTGTATGTGAGCTTGATTTAAATACCATATATATCAGAATACACCCCTCCCCCTCCCCTTTGAATAAACGCCCCTCAAATGAATTCTCCTCTCTAGAGCCTCATTTGGAATAATAAACGCCTCACTCGAATATGCTCAAATACCTTTCCCGGACATTTCTTTTTCTCCTCTAATAAACGCCATCCCCACCCCCACCCCCCAAAATGACCAGTAATTACCCGGTTGTGTTGTAGTTCCACATTTACAGTGAAATTAAGGAGATTATTTGAGTAAAGACAGGCCTATATATATAGGTAGGTCTATACATTTTACATTAAAAAACATAAACGCCTCCCTCGAATGAACGCCACCTCAAAAACCATTCTCAACAATAAACGTTGAGGCGTTTATTCGAATAACACATTAAAGATGTAGGCCTCCTTTTGAAATTACAACAAATCGGTTTTTTTTTAATTAACCTTGCTCATTTTGCAGTAACATAAAAATAATTAACTTGAGCATAGGAATTATTGAATTTACTGATTTTTAAACTGGATAGTTAACTTATATTAAAAATAATAAAACACTTCTTGCCTCCTGAAAGTGTTTCTATAATTTTCGCTGTGACATTTTGAATAAACATTTTCTAAATACACTAATTCTATGTTCAAGTTCAAGTTCATAAGTTTTGTTACGTCGAAATAGGCAAGTTAATTAAACAAATATTTTTATGATAATTTTGGTAGTTTGCATGAAAAGGACAATACATATATCAAGGAGGTATAAAAATAAGATTGATTATATCGAGTCACAACAGTATGTTGGTATACCCATGATGTATATACGTGTTCAACAAGCAAAGAACAATAAACTGCAGGCATCGAAATGACGTCACCCTTGAACGCACATGCTGCATCCCCCACAATTCCTCATTTCAAAATGTCGGGATGTTCGAGCTGATGGAATCGTAAACTGTTGTAAATAATCCAGTTTCATCCCCGTAAGTTGAACTTTTTTTAAATATTTTTGTGATTGAATTGCAAGAATAATATTTGTATTCAATTTAGAAGTAGACCTGATGCTTAATCAGAATGAAGTTTTGGTGTTTCAATGCGTATTTTTGGAATGAATGATCACACTGTATTTTTGCATTGTTTACCACTGCCCAAATAATGCCTAAATGGTATCGTTAGAATAGAAATCAGGAATTACTTACGTTATTTTACAAGTCATATTAATGGCTTAATTTTACATTCAGTGTGTTCGTTTGCTTACAGGTCGTGGAATGATATTTGTAAATAGTTGTAAAGTTAGTTTGTAAATCATGACTGAGGTAGCTTGGGACGATTCTCGCATTGGACAGCAGGGAGGCCCCGGTGGTGTACAAAAAGCCCCTCGATCACAGCATCCAGCCCTTCAACAGGGGTCTAGAGACGATGCCACTATCGGTTATTTTTATCAACGCCAGCCTAGTGACACAATTGATCCTGGACAGTATGGTAAACAACGATGGCCTACTGATAGAGACGACAGCATTATTGAGCAGGCAAGTCAACTCATGAATGACTCATATTTCATCATATAATATTAATATCAATCTTTTCAGAACAAAGACCATGATCAGTTTACCTAAAAATCGAGTTTTCCGAGGTTGACAAAGGCCAAAATAGCCCATAATATTTAACCTAGGCATACAATTGTTTACTTGCAGTATCTTGTCTTTGTGTAGATTGATATTTGATTATATAAAATGAATTTTTTAATGACCTAGGCCTATCCCATGCAAAACCCATGCTCACTCTGCAACAAGCCGGCCAAAGCTAGGCCCTACTGTACTGTAGGCTAGGCTTTCACACCCAAGGGATAGGTGAGGCCTAAAACTACAGTACCTAGGGTGGTATTCGTAAGTGTTTTACCGAACTATTCATGAATTAGTTTTTGATTTGAATATAATATAAATAATAATAATATAATAATATAATTTAAATGATACTTCCCAACAACTAAGTATAGCATCTTCCATTATTTAGTAAGTAGAGAATAATTTTACATCCCTGTTTATCTTATTATTAAGTTCAAACAAATTTATGTGTAAATCAAATGCAACTATCACAGAAATAGTGGTTTGACATACTTCCGAAATTTTTTATTAATCTTTACATGTATTTCAAAGCAAACACAACAAGTATTTTCATGGTAATGGGCAGTCACCACTTGCCCTTCTCATTTTATTTGGTCTTTTCCTGTATTCTGTTAGTTTCAAGCATAGTGAGAACTCATTTATTTATTTATGTTATTTATAGTCAACCTTTATTTTTATTATCATTAGGCGATACTTTTTTTATACAGGTACCTTGTTTCGCGAACTTATTACTTAGGGTGGAAAAAAATAAAATTTTGTTTTCTTATTTAGCTAATAGTTTGTCAAAAACATCCAGATGGAGGAGAAAACAAAACTAAAATTTTATTGGTGAATGTAAACAGTGTAGTAATTGGATGGTTAAAATGTTTTAAATTTATATAATTAGGAATAAATATTCATCTTATTTTTGGAGATTTCAAAGCAGCAGTGGACATTTAAAAAAAGAAAGACGACAGTTGCGCTAAATGGCCAAAAATAAAATGTTATTTTTATTCAAAATCATCATCATTGGCAGGCGGGGGGTTCGCTAAACAAGGTGTAAAAAAAAGCCTCGCCATATGTTTATTCATATTGAATGGAGCTTGACTGCACAGACCTAAAATGGCAGGCTAGTGATGATCCCACCATAATAAAATCGACCTTGAATTCGAACTGCTGTGGAAAATCTAAAGTTTTCAAGGATATTCATTCAATGCCATTGTTACTAACTACAGTACCTAAGCCTCAGTATCTGGTTATGAGGCTGCACATTAGTATAATCCAGACACACCCAACTATCATCTCTGTGCATCAAAAGTGATTGCAATACAACAAGCTAGTGCAACCGAAAAATCAGTGTGCATATAATGTTAAAGCGCCATCAAGAATTGTAATGGTGCATGTGTTTAAAAAAGTTGAATTAAGCGATTTTATCTGTTTTCATCCAAAATATAATTTTGTGGGCATAGCCTACCTCCCAAAATATGTGTGGACTTGATAAGAACACTTGTTATTTATAAAGACAAGGATATCACATGTGACAGGTTTGTCTTCAAGTGGACTGATTAAGGAAATGATTATGCCATTTTAAACTTTTAACAAAAAGGAAAACATATATACACCTTTCAAAAAAGTATTTTTTTCAGTTGTATACTGACCCAAAATATGTTAATCTATAGCTATATAGTTTTATACTGTATAGTTAATTGCAATAATCAAGTAAGGCCAAAATAGTCACATAATAAACAGCAGTGTACTAAAAACTTACAGGCAGATTGCTTAGCCTCATAAATGTGCTTTTATTGATGTGTGTATATTTTATACATTGTACTCCATTGTCATCTGTTTATTTATTTTATTTTTTAAAATATTCTTTTCCATTGGATTCATCAAAATACTCAATAATATTTAAAAAATATATATATTTACAAAATATATATTCATACAGTATAATGCCTAATTAGTAATGCAAAAACAGCTACAAAGCATTAACGTAGGCTAGCATTTGGAATAACCCACGATTGAACCAACAGCATTGTTTAGTAAAATGTACATCTTATTGAATTAAAATATATTTTGTACAGTAAATAGGTTGTTGTTATGGTGGATATTATTATTACAGTTGAACTTGCCTAAGTCGAATCCAAAATGCCATATAAATATTTTTCGACTTAGGTAAAATTTGACTTACAAAATTGTTAATTAATGGAAAACACAACAATTTGGCATGTAAAATTAGATCAACTTAGAAATTATTCGACTTAGGCAAGTTTAACTGTAGTAAAATTTGGCACATTAAATATAGTCTTATTAAGAGCTGCAGTAGTTAAAAACATAAGGAAATTTGTTAGCAGAAAATTAATAGGCTTGTTGACTTAAGCCTAAAGAATGACTATCACTTTCTACAAAGAATGAATGACTCACATATTTTATTGTCCTTAGCAACCCCTCCCTGGTGCTTGCTTTGCTGTTAATTACATTGTATAGCACCATTTTTTTTAAATAGTTACCTTTTGTTTCAGACTGATACCACTGATCATTCACCTGATGAAGAATATTTAAATGAAAGCTAACTGTATTATTAACTATCTAAAATTATCCTATAAGTGCTACTTTTCGCTGTCTTATAATAGATTAGTAAGGCTTGCTATGTTCACAAAAAGTATACCTTGTTGAACAATTATGAATGTTTGTGAACTTTGGTTTCATCATTAAAAATACAGTAGCCAATCCATATGATTAATGTAAAACATCAACATAGGAATTTACAAAATAATATTAGAATTTAGTAGTAATTATGGTTTGATGGCAACTAAGAAATGATGATGGTTAATAATAATAATAATAATATATAATATTCAGAAATTGTTGACCCTGATATTAAGTGTTAGTCTTCAGTGTATAATTCACAAAGGAGTGATGATGATGTTGACATTCAACATAAATTTTAATGAATATTATTATGTTTTTGTTTGAATATAATTTTCTGGTTTATTTGCAGACCAGGGCAGCCGGCATTGCTAGAATGACGAACCAATTTCATGCGTTGCACTTAGAAGGCGATCAGAGATTGAGGAATAATGAAGAGGTAGGCCATTACATTATGCTGCACTAATTTGAGTTGCTGACTCAATGATGTGCAGTCCTGAATCAGTTCAACTGGTTGCCTAGTCACTAACAACCAATATTAAATGTTTAATTGATTAAACAATAATTGTGTGTCAACTAGTTAGTGGGGCTGAATCTTGGAATTAATGTTCAACTTGTTTTATGCAGTATAATTATTTATCATCAAATTATGTCTATACTACTATTCAAATAATGTTTTTTTTTAATTTCTTGTTGAATAGTTAAATTTTAACAATCTTAAGCCTGCATCCTTTTAGAAAGCAGTTCCTTATAATAATAATAATAATAATAATAATAATAATAATAATAATAATAATAATAATAATAATAATAATAAATTAAAATAATAATAATAATAATAATAATAATAATGTTACTAAAACCTACCTTATGGGGAACATAGAAATTGGAGAACAATTGATGTTAAGGGGAAAATAACATGACATTAAGGGGAAAATAACATAAAAGATATTCCCCTTAAGTCCGATTTAGAGAAATTATAATAATAATAGTAATAATTCTTTATTTGTCGTCATTCTAATCAGAAATCAGAAACTTGAGCTGGAGACCAGCCACAGCGCAGCGCCACCTGGCTTAACTACAAACAATTAACAGACACATACAAATGCATTGTCCTTAACCCGTCTAATTCCCAATGTTAGGGTTAATCGAAGAGCTAAGCAATCAGACTGATTAAAACCTGATGCTGGCCGGGCTTGAACCTGGGTCTTCAGCATAAGAAATATAAACAATCCCTCTCAACCATCCGCTCCAGGCTCTTGTAATGATTACGACTGCATTGTTATAAAATAAAACTAACATGGCTGTCGCACTATTTTTGATATGTTTGCAACCTGTTACTGAAGGAATAATTGTTTATCTTTCAGTTTGGTGGAAAGAAGTTCTGGGATCAGGGAGATGAGCAGAAGCCAGAGGACAGTCTGTTCTTAGGTGGAAACCAGTGGCAGGCTGCCAGTTGGGGAGGTGTCTCAATGCCTCAGCAAACTGGCACAGGTGAGTTGTACATTTTAAGTTTATTTCCACAAATCTTGAAAAAATATATATTTTTAGCACCATCAATTTTTAATAAAATTGATTCAGAATATTAGATGATATATCATTTGTTTCTCCAATTTTTAAAACTTTATATAGTAGAACCCCTATTAATGAGACACTTTCTTGGCTCCTAAGGTATCCCCCTTAATAGGGGTTAGCCTACTAATGTAGTTTTTTTTTTTTTTAATATTTGTTTTTTTTTTTTTAGATCACTCTGTATCCCAGCCTATAATGGTGCAACGCAGAGGTCTGTCCCCGGGGTCTTTCCAGGGCCAAGAGAATGCTGTTCTTTCCCCACGCTCAGAAACGAGTGGGCTTGGAGTGAGTATGGCTGAGTATGTGCTTGGCAGCTCACCGGCTACCTTAGGCAAGGATATGGATGCTAAGATGCCAAGATTGAAAACAGCTGCTAGATTTGTAAGTAGTTACTGTTAAAAATTGTTTCCATATAATAGTTGTAGGCCTATTCAAAGTTAAAAAAGGTTGTATGGATAATTTATTTTTTTTACACTGAAATTCATGAAATTTCTAGCTGCTTCTTTGATCATTTTAAGCCAGGAGTCCTAAATCTCCCGCATGTCCTGTGAGTCTCGCGGGAAGCAGAACGGCTTTCCGCAAGCAAGCAAGAATCTCACGGAAAATAAACCATCTACCGAAAATTGATAGTGCTTGCACAATTTTACTTCTTTATTATCAACTGTCCCAAGGAAGCCAGTGCCGATGTCTATCATTGTGTGCAGCAAGTTAAGAATTAGATGTGGTTATTTAACTTGATCTCCCAGAAGTGAGATACAGATTTTTTAATATTTAAAAACTGGGGGAGAAAGGGACATAACCATCCTTTTTTCCACCCTTTTCCCCGAGTTTTTAAATGTTCAAAAAGCTCATTAACCGTGGCTAAGTTTTTTTGTCAAATATGCTTTTTGTGTCAAATCAGTTCTTCAAGGTTCTGTGCTTAAGCATTATATAAATATGTATGTATGTATATATAACATGGTAGGGTGAACAACTAATTATATTTGTGTCACTTCAATATGAATATTTTTTTTAAATCCTGATTTTGTAAACAATTTTTGTTTTATTTTTCTATGTAGCCGGTATCGAATCAGACCACGGAACCAACCCAAAGTGAGACCATTGAGCAAGCTAATGCTAAAGGTAGCAAAACTCCCTCACCTTTTGATGAAAGCAAAGAGCCTAATCCCGCTGACAACCAGAACGAGAATCCACAGACTACTACCCAGCCACAACAAGAGTAAGCAATGCATCCAACATTCATTGAAAAATATACACAACAAAATCAGAAAGTATGAAAAATAGAAGCTGCTAAGAAATTAATGCAAGCCACATGATTCAATATCTTAAATTTAATTTCAATCAAGGAAATTTTAATATGTTTATAGCCCATTGTGAGTGACTACATTGTTTACCAAACTCTGAATAATTAGAAAGAAAAAAAAGAAAAAAACAGATTAATAATGACATGTAAACACTTAAGAATAATGTGAGTGTGGTGACAACATTGAACAGAGCCGCTCCCTAGCTCGCAGCTTAGAGAACATTAAAGGTAAGAGAAAAGCCCATAGCTTGCAACGTTGTTGTACTGAATTGCGTATGGGCTGGTCTGTGGGTACCTAACCGCCGTAAAGAGGCGCTTATGCTGTAGTAGTAGTAAGCTTCATACTTATATCATTCCATAACAACGGGCTGAACTGAATCATAGCATCCAATTATTCCAAATGATGCAATAAGTTCTTTAAAGTGCAGACAAGCCAGATGTGTACGCTGAACCTCCATTTTTAAGTCCTTACGTGAGAAGAGTTGGCTCTACGAACCAAACCCTGGCCGTGGAGCAGCTCTCTGACTTGCTGAAGAAGTCCAACCTTATTTATGAAAGCTATTGTACATTACATTTAGTGTAAAGTGTCATCCTTTTCATTATCTGGTATTTCAGAAAGTTGTGTTGTGTGCTTTGCCTTTAATAACCGATTTATTTTTCATTGATAGGACAATTCTCCCAGGTGTGAATCAAGTACCTGTTGAGGAGGTCGGTAAGGTCGCAGTACAGCAGCAGATTGACCTTCACCGCCATGTGCTACAACATCAGAAGACAAACCAAGAAAACTACATGGAACAAGCCCAGCAGAACCCCCTGCAGATTGACACACAGCATGTGTCTGTGGATCCGTTACAGTTTGACTACAGCGCTCAGATGGTCCCTAGTATGGACAGTCCCAGCTACATGGAATACAATCATACACAGGTTATTCACATTCTTTTTGTACTTGGTTCTTACTTTTAAGTTAGATGTTTCACATTATAGTGGACTGTATGCACCAAAATGAAAATAATATTTGTTTTAGGCCAAAAGAAGTCATCTTTTCTCATTCTCCTGGTAATAGTCGGAGCAATTTCACTGAAACTTCAAGGCAATCAACCAATGGTTTTACCTCAAAAGCTATATTATTACACATGAATGAATGAAATGAATGTTCCTGTAAATGACCCATCATATTAAAGCTTACAATGTGGAGAATAAGAATATATTAAAAGGTCAATTTTGATTTTTTGGTCACTGATGCAGGATTAGGGATGGCATGCCTCATATGTAGGCACTCTAGGAAAGGGAACTAATAGTCAACATTCACACCAAGTTATCTTCTCTGATTGAATATATATAGCATTTTAATTACTTATCAATTAATCATATTTTATTCTGGAAGTTCAAAAACAATAATTATTGCTGACTTCACAGTCAGCATTAGTTTTTCTATATAAGATTACATAAATATTTGGCAATTAGTAACTGAGGATGACAATGCTGTCTTTTGTGTGGTTGTAGATGATGCAGCAACGCCAAGCTACCCCTCAGGCTATTGCTATTCAACAACTAACATCTCAGCAACAACAGCAATACGCATTAGCTGCGGCCCAACAACAGCAACTAGGTAAGAACTGACATTATTAATTTTTTTTTATTTACTGTTTTGAAATCATATTTACCTGATTGAAAATGCTCTCTATTTAGCTAATAAAATAATTGTGATAAATAGTAATATTGATATTAAATGTAATAATGATTAAATATTAAATGAAAACGATTTATTATTTTAACAAATTCTTGTTAAGATCACTTTAATTTTTGCCATGTAATGTGTGAACAAAGGATGTTGCCACATCGCATTGTCATCATTTTCTAATAAAGCTCACCTGTCCACATCTCAATGTCCTATTATTCATCTAACAGACTTGCACACAAATATATACACCCACACATATAGTTACATAAGTACGTCTTGTCAAGCTACCTTTCAATTTGCAATTATGCCGTTAGTATGTTGGTTAAATTTACAGTTAACTGGTATAATTAGGTTGGTCAGATTGCTTTGAAACGAATGAATAGAAGTGTCAATCAATCTGAACAGTCACAACAGTTCCAGGAGTATACATGCTCTGCTCATAAACATACGTGTCGTCCCGCATGTTTTGCATATGCTCTCATTTTGTTGTCTTTCGCGACAAAATCTAATGGGTGAGAATTAGCAGAATGGTCCATTCCCAATTTCCTTTAGTTGACTCTTCTATGTAACTCTTTTCAGAATGATAATTAATATTTGCAGGTTGATTTCATGGTTCTAAACTTACAGCTGGTGTATATATATATAATACTAGATATGCCTATATTAGTACATAATGCATTCTAAGGGAACAATATATATGGGAACAGAAATCTTTACCCAAATGTTGCATGCCTTCATAATACTATCAAATGATTTCTGTTACATATTGCAAATAAATACTAGCATTCCATTATGTAATTTGTGTAAACTAGTGTAACGTCAAAGTGAAAAACATTAATGATTTCAAACTTTGACCGATGTTGGAGGATTGTTGTTGTAAAACGATAATAGGAGCAGTTTAGTTTGAAGCATTTTATTATTATTTCTGTTGTATTTGTTTGTCATTTAGCTTGTTTTTTACAACATCTACTGCTTGTCATTTTCATAGGCCTTGCTCCCACTGCCTTTGCTCCTACGAACCCGTATATAATTACTGGTGCTGCACCCACTGCCCAAGATCCTTATGCATTAGGCCTCACAGCAACAATCGCAGGTTAGATTATCTTCTTTCAATTTTATTTTTATGATTATCCTAAAAGCGTGCCAGTTAAAAAAAGGAAGACACAAGTAATACTATCTTTGAAAATTTACAAATTTTATATATTCAATACAGATATTTATTATATATTACAATTTGGACAACAGTTGAGAATGTCGGCCAATGTATTTAAAAGGCAACTTTATGGGATAATCATTTCACTTTTATAAACTTTGAATTTTAAGATGATTTTTCTTTTTCTTTTTCTTTAAACACATGTTTTGGAATGTCAGTTAAAAGAAAAATCAATTTACTGCTCCTTATTGGAAAAAAATTAGCATGTGCATGCCATATATGGTATCATCATCTCAATCTTAGTGCCAGCAAGCAGACATGCCAACCACTCGGCTATCAGCTAAGTTTATCCACTCTTTCAAACTCAACACATTTAGTAAAAAAAATACACCAAATGCTTTTTAGATTATTTTTTACATTGGTTTTCTATATCTTTGTGTACTTTTTCATATATTTCGTTCTTGAACTTTAGTGGCACAGATATCCAAAAGTATGTTTATCATTGTGGTTCACTTAAATTTTTTATTTAAAGATGTTTTGTGGTAACAAGTTTTCACACTGTACTTGTTACCCCAAAACTTTAAAATTTGTTCGTACTTAAAATGTTGGCATGTCTGCAGTAAAAGTCCTGTTTGTATACAAAGCTCAAACTACCGACGAACTGTAAATTATTTTCAATAAATGTAGGTTTGACTGTAAGAATATCTTCTTTGATCATATGTGGCAGCACATTATATTTGAAGGCTTTCATTTAAGGTTTATCAATATAGTGCTTTTTTCTAAAATGAATTTGTATGGTGACTGCAGGTCAGCCTACAGTTGTTCAGCCCCAGTACGCGTATGGCGTAGCCCCGTGGAGTGCCGTCTACCCTGGCGTCATCATACCTCAGCAACAACAGCAACAAGGTATGCAACAGCAGCAGATGGTAAGAAACCAGCAGAATGGAAGACCTTTGACACCACAGAGCCAGCAGCAGCAACAACAGGGTCAACCACAGCAGCCAGGACAGCAAGACCAAAATAACCCAGCCACCTCTGCTCAAGCACAGGCCCAAGCTCAGGCCCAAGCCGTGCAAGCCCAGGCACAGGCTTTACAAGCGCAAGCATTAGCCACTCCAGGTAAGTTTGGAAAGTGTTTGTATTTGCCATTCAATGCTACTCCATCATTTGTTTATATTGAGTACTTGTGTGGTGTTACTTATATTTACTCTCCTATGTTATAGTACCATGAGAATTTCTAATGTATTTTGTTATTTTGTTCATTTCTTCTCAGCTGGTTACCAAGTAATTGCACCTGTGTATTATGATCAGACAGGAGCCCTGATCATGGGAAATCCTCGTCCAGGTACGTCGTCATATGCTTCATATCACAATCTTCTTGATATTTATATTTAACATTATGTATAGCTCATTTTATTTAATTTTTAATCTCCAATTTGTATAATATTTAATATGATAAATAATATAAAAGAAAAAATATGGAACACATTACCTTTGTGTAAATCTGTTTCTGTGTGTTCCATAGATGTTAGATCTATGACCAGTTCGAAATGCTTTGATGTTTAGTATACTACAGTGGCGAATCCAGGAATTTGCAATAGAGGGGGCCCAGAGAGGGACTTTCACAGATGGAGGGTCTATACTACCTCAGCCCCACCATGTTTGGGGCTGAGGGAAGACAATTTATGATTATAGCACCTCAAGAGGCTGGAAATGGCACTCTTAGACTCAAAATTTGAATCCGCCACTGCACTATATTACTAACATGTTGTGTTTCTTGCTATTTGTAGCCCTTTGCATGAGGCTAATTAGTTTCCAATTAATTAACATAATACAAGTAACTTTGCGCAAGTTGCACATTATAACTGACTGCATGTCGATTATGTCTAGTTATGTGTTTAAGAATGTTTCTTTGTGTTCACAGTGCAAACTGCCAATGGGATGGCCAACACCAACGGTCCATTTCGTCTACTAAATGCTCAACAACAGCAGCAGCAACAGCAGGCACCGATATCGCTGTACACAAATAACCCAATGCCTGCCGGTACACCTACGCAGACCACTAACCCAGTTGGATCGTTCACCCAGAACAGCTCCATGTTCAGCAATGGCAGTATTGGATCACTGGGTTCCACCGTTGGTTCCATAGGGATTGCTGGTTCAACGTCATTAGGCGATCGTCGTGACTCTCTTGGCAGCGATAAGCGTCCAGGCTTTTCGGGATTTTATGGCAGCTCTCCTACTGCTCTAGGGCCGTTTGGTATCTCGCCAACAAACACTGGTAGCTTAACCCCTCCACCATCCCAGACGTCACTATGTGGAATAAGTCTTGGTAAGTTGTAAAATGAAATATAAAGTCTATGGATTGCATGTAGTGGAGAGTAACTGGCCTTGAATGTGAAGAGAGGAGTAGTGGATTTTTTAGTACATAATACTTAGTGTTTCATTTGAATGCTCTTTAAACATGACTTCATGTACTATTTAAAAAATAAGGTCTCCCTCCAATTAAAGATTATTTTTGGGACCAGGGTTTCCACAGGCTTTAGCAGCTTTGGTCTCTAATAAGAGTAAGAAAGACTTGTTAATTTGGGAATCACAGAAAAGTGGTCTTAAATTGGAGGTCTTTAATTAGAGAGATACCTGTATTGAATATAACTATAATAAGAGTGATAAATTATTTTTCTGTAATGGTGTTGAACTTTGCACTTTCGTGCACCTCTGGTCTAGCAGGTGTCATAAATTGGCAATGATCATATCTGAAAGACTTGTTAATTTGGGAATCACAGAAAAGTGGTCTTAAATTGGAGGTCTTTAATTAGAGAGATACCTGTATTGAATATAACTATAATAAGTTTTGAGTAGTGAGCAAGTGTCCACTGCAGTACCTTGTTATACATCATACATTGGTTATTCATCTTACTATCCAAGTCTCTTACTTACAGTTTAAACTTCTAGTGGTGATTTTGCGAGTGTTTTTCCAGCCTTGATTTAATTTGGTTAATTTGTCTGTGAATTCACAGCTTCATCTGACAGTGTTTCCATAAAAGTAGATTTAGACCTACTGGTGATGAAAGTTTCCTTGGTAGTCAAAAATGTAAGGGTTAACTAACGGTACATTTTACAATGTACATGAAGTTTGCTAGAATTATGTTATTAAAATATTTAATTTTGTAGTAACTATACTGTATATGAAAGGTTCCATATTTTTTTAAATATTTCAGCTCCAGGGGCAGAAGCTAAGTATCATCGCAGCAGTTCCGCATCTACAAGTGGCTGGTCTAACACCCTCTTTCCACCTCGTAGTCTTCGTAGTTCTACTTTCATGGAGAAGAGTGCGCCAGGTCGTAGCAGACTTCTGGAGGATTTCAGAAACAATCGGTTCCCCAATCTGCAGCTGCGTGATCTGACGGGCCACATTGTGGAGTTCTCACAAGACCAACATGGTTCCCGCTTCATCCAGCAAAAGCTTGAGCGTGCTTCCATCCCGGAACGGCAGATGGTGTTTGGAGAAATTCTTGGTGCTGCTTACAACCTCATGACCGATGTGTTTGGCAACTATGTTATCCAGAAATTTTTTGAGTTTGGCAGCACCGAACAAAAGCAAGCGTTAGCGCAACGGATCAGAGGTCATGTATTGCCTCTGGCTTTGCAAATGTATGGGTGCCGTGTCATACAGAAAGCTTTGGAATCCATTCCTCCAGAATTGCAGGTAAATTTAACAATGCTTTTAATATTGAATTAGATATTGCTTGATAGAAGATTACAATTTTTGTTTCTTACTAATATATGTACCAGTTTTTGCTTTCTAAGAAAATAATATCACCCAAGTCTAACAATTAGACAATTTTATGGAATGAGCCATTCTCATGTCTGTATTGTGAGAAATGGGGTAAAGTCTAAATACTGTATAGGATGAAAACAGCTCAGGATTTGCTAACAATATGTGGCAAAGACAAGCCAAACCAGTCACTCGTCGCGAATCGTGTTTCAGAGATAATGGCCAAAACATCCTGAAATGTCAAAATTTTTAAAATCTATTTTATTGCACTAAACTAACTTTCATATATCTGTACATCATGACATACAGTTATTTTCCCCATTTTCAATGTTAAAACAACAATTTTTAACAATTTGGTGATGGTTTCTGCCTGAAAAATGCCCAAAATCATAAACTTTAAAGGCTGTATGTTTAAACGCTTGTAACTTCATAAGGAAATGTTGGATTTAAATGAACCTTTTAACATTTTATAGCTCTCATTTTCATTTCAACCCTGTAATAATAACTAAAAATCGATTTTTGCGATGAGTGAATGGTTTGGCTTTGTCTTCGCCACATATATGTTTGTAAAGATGTGTAATTGGTTACAAAATAATAAGCCGACTTTTTAAAAACCGTCTTGGAGAACTTTCCTTGTAGCTGCCCTTTTTATGCCTCCTACTGGTCTTTGAGCAAGCCATTCCCCTGCAAGTCAAATTTGTATGACATAAGTGATATGATAATACTCTCCTCTTTACCATCTAGGTGGAGATCGTTCGTGAGCTTGATGGGCATGTGTTAAAGTGTGTGAAGGACCAAAATGGCAATCATGTCGTTCAGAAGTGTATCGAGTGCGTTGAACCAGCCGCTCTGCAGTTCATCATCGATGCCTTCCGTAGTCAGGTGTTCTCGCTGTCCACTCATCCTTATGGATGTCGTGTTATCCAACGAATCCTGGAACATTGTACAGTGGATCAAACTCTACCGATCCTTGAGGAGCTTCATCAGAACACAGAGCGTCTGGTTCAGGATCAATATGGAAATTACGTGATCCAGGTAATGCACCTCCAAATGCTTATTCATTGTTACACATTAGAAGTTTGGCTTTGTTAGGCTACGTTCTCAATCTCGTGTTATACAAGTTGTAATTTAAAAATTATATTAAATTCATTCTGTCTTCGCAGCATGTGTTGGAGCATGGTCGGCCTGAAGATAAAAGCAAAATTGTCAATGAGCTACGTGGAAAAGTGCTTGTCCTAAGTCAGCATAAGTTCGCAAGGTAAGATCAAATGATGTCGCTTATCTATTAATGCATTAAGTTCTTCGAAACATAACACAGCTCCACACTGTAAGCTATCATTGTTCATGTGAGGCTTTCCATTCCAAAAGCAGCTTACTGTAACTAATTATTAAAATGAGTAATTAGCGTAAGAATGGGGCAGTATTGTATACTTTATTACAGAGAAGCCATAATACTTTTACAGTAGAAACCCTCATTTACGAACCCTGATTTAACGAATTCCCGATTTTACGAACGTAATATAAAGGTGATGACGTCATAAAAATTGAAGTGAAAGATTAAAATTTTAAAAAATCCGCTCGAATTGTAACTGTTATTAGCATGCATACAACACAACACACCATACTATACAGTACTATGTAATTCCTCTAACGGGCTTCACACATGTGCATGCGACAAATTTTACTTCTTTCAAACATCATTTTCAGCTTTAAAATTCAACATAGTGCTTGATTGTTTTATTGAATGATCAATATATATAATAAACAAGTATCTATGGAAGTTGTGTTGGAGTAAAATCCACAATCTAGGTATTTAAGAAGGTAAAAATGTCCGATAAAAACAAATTTGTGTAGGGCATCAGAATGCTTAGAAGCTGCCTACTGTAGGCCTAGGCCCGCTCAGACTTAGCTGCGTAAGCCTGTAGGCCTAGCCTAGGCCTAGTTTATGCCAGTGTAAGTAGTACCAGTGCAAATATATAGGAATTTGGGTCAACCCCGATTTTACGAATACCCGAATTTACGGACGGCTCTGGGCCCGTGCCGTACGTAAATGAGGGGTTCTATTGTACTCATAACTTTGGCAATAGTAAGTTGATTCCAGTAAATGACCCATCATTTTAAAGCTTACAATGTGGAGAAGTCAATTATCATGTTTGGGTCACTGATGCTGTTTTTGGGATGGCAAGTTTCATATGGTTATTGAAACTTGGGCATCTCAAAATCTAACTGAATTTAGACATGATGTGTTGATACCAATACATGTGTCAAGTGTACTCAACAAATGCAATTTATGTTTTAAGATTTATGTTGCTGTATTTAGTATTTTTTATTAGAATTTTTATAAATACATTATAAATTTACAACATTGTTGTTTTTTAATAAAATTACAATAGAAGCACAATTTGTTGAAGTTATTTTTTTCTTTCTCAATAGTAATGTGGTGGAGAAATGTGTTACTCATGCATCAAGACCAGAAAGGGCCTTGCTTATTGATGAAGTTTGTACATTTAATGATGGGTAAGATTTTACCATACTTCTACTACTTTTATATGATATGAGTTATTTTTTATTTAATAGATTAAAATTTTGGTCACGCATGGATATAATTGGCAATACGTATATATCTTGTACAATGCTCAGGGTTGTAGCTGAAGAAAATTAAGGGTGGGTGATATACATTTTGAGGGTGGGTTCATGATAACATTGGTAAACTCTTAAGTAATAAGAGTAGATTTTAAGGATGGATAAAGTGAGTGGAGGGCTTCATCCACCATAACTACAACCCTAAATGTTACACCAGGCATTCCCACTACAGGTTATCTGATGCTGTAGATTAAAGCAAGCCTGAAGGTGTTAAACACCTATCGACTGCTGCTACTTTAATTACGGGCTACGCCCATATGCAATTCAGTGTAATGACGCTTAGTGTTATTGGTCATTCTCCTACCTCTACCCTTAATTCAAAGGTTTTCCTATCTGAAATAAAAATTTAATAACATGAATATGATTGACTCATTACATGCTGATTTTGTTTCAGTCCCCACAGTGCTCTGTATACTATGATGAAGGACCAATACGCCAACTACGTGGTGCAGAAGATGATCGACGTAGCCGAGCCCAACCAACGCAAACTACTCATGCATAAGATTCGTCCACACGTGAGCACTCTGCGCAAGTATACGTACGGCAAGCATATTTTGGCCAAGCTGGAGAAGTTCTTCATGAAGAGCAACGACCTGGGACCTATCGGTGCCCCTCCAAATGGCACTTTGTAAACATCGCCTCCGAATACGATTATGATTACCGTTTGTAATTTTGACTTGCTTATGTCAGTAAGCTAACAGATGCTATTGGTCAGACAGTTTAGTTTCTTCTTTTTTTTGGTCAAATTTAGGATTTGTCAGTTTATGGTACGAGGAAAGGAGTGCATGATATAAAAATGATGTTAAGCCTTCGGTATGACTAACAGGAACGTAGTCCTGTGATGCTTAGTCATTTTTTGAATATTTAGTCGTCGAGTATTAGATCGCTTGTTATCTTAAATGCTGAAAAAGCCAAGTGTGGAATTCTATGTTTTAATCAGAAGCTGGGGGTTTTACTTGCAACTATTTGTAGTTTGTACAATTGTAGAAAATGTATTGTAGAATATATAACCTCTTGTTTGCATGTTTTTAAATAGAATAATACATACACACATATAATGTATACATGTCAGGGAATGCACAAAAGTCGCACTTATCAAATAAGAAAAGATTTCCTTTGTTGAACAGGTAACAAAAGAGAAGGAATTTGGTTTTAGCATCTAAAATTGTTCTTGGTGTATAACTATATATTGTTATCTTAATAATCACCAAATTAGGCTGAATATATTTCTTGTGAACAGCTGTTTATTTTGAGCTAAACTTGCGTGAAATAGATTTTTTTCTTGATATTATAATTATGTGTGTGCATGTGTTGATATAAGTGCATGGTATATAAATAGGAAGCATGCATGCGATAATTTGTTTGATATTACGTAGTTAAGCAAGCATTTGCTTCAAGTTCCACCAATCCACAATATTATTAACCAATTATTATACAATATTTTATTTCTCTGAACTGATGTTTTAAAGATTATTTTGAGAAAATGTTAACATTTTGTATTATTAATGATTGTATACACTTTGTATTATTAATTAATCTTGAATTTAAAGCAGTAGATTTGATAGATGTATTTATGCAGCCGTTTAGGCTTGTCACATATTCTCTTGTATATTATCAATTTCATATAAAATCAGCCAATTTAGTGTGGAAACTGTTTGGGAGGATATAGTTTTTCTGAAGTCTTCCACCAAATTTGTGCTATCTTTACTGATTCCGATGAAATGTGTGAGGTGTAATCCTCTCGTAGACTAAATTGTACAAATTAATATCTTGGTGATCCCTGAGTTATTTGAATCGATTTTTTTGCACAATTAATAATGGTGCTTTTTCATGAAAAAGTATTCCTTAATTTGATTTAGGAAGTGTGCTAAGGAATACAGATTTTTGGAGGGAAAAAAAATGTGTTACATAAAGCCCAACATGTTAATAAGTCTCCAACAGCCTTGAAAACCTGTAGCCTTTAAATTTAAATTTTCTAATATTGTAAAGTCATAAGAAAAGAAAATAGTGTTAAGAAAAATCATCATGTAATATTGTAAAATGTATCTATCTACCATACCTATCATGGTTTATTATCAGATGAATATTTTCATTAATTTTGATCACTGTAAAGTTGTGCACATACAGAGGAAGGAAATTTAAACTATTTTATAAACAGGAAACAAGTATGTCTGTAGAAATAAATATAGGTTGATAAAACCTTGTACACACACCCTGAAACTGTATAAAGACATTTACCCTATGTGCAAGTGTACAAATTTACTGTTGTATAGAGAGATGATCATATTTTTTTGATGTATTTTGTTTTCCAGGAAGGGATTTGACCAACTTGTGTTTTTTTTTTAGCATTTTTTAAAATATACAAACAATTCTTGTAATAAGCTGAAGTAAAGGCTTTTTAATATGTTTAATTGGGGATCGTATCTTAATCAATCTCAATATATGCAGGTATTATTTTTATTCTATATTAATGCAACAATTTGCTTAGCAATGGTTTTTTTAATTAATAGGCCATCATCCCCATTACTTGATAACTTTTTCAAGTTTAAAAATTGTTGGGAACAAGAGGTAATATCACTCAGGTATTATTATGAGGGATGATTACATGCGATGTTAAACATATGCAAGTCTTCTACCAATACTGGTCCAGTTTCTACTCATGAAATATTGTAAAAAAAAAAACACTTTTTATCCTTTTATTAATGTATTTTCTTTTTTAATCAATTTTATTTAATGTGCAGTATTGGTATATTGAAGATAAATCTTGTGATTTTTTTGAAGCAAGAATAAAAAAAAAAACACCAAGTCAGCTTTGACCTAGCTATGTACAGAATGTACAAATGTAAATTGTTTCATGTTCACTTGCCTGCAAGTCCACTCAAATTATTGTATAGAAAATTTAAAAAAGGACTTTGCTCAACTTTAGAAGTACATAATCTGTCATAGGAAAAATCTATATTAAAGTGTACATTTGGAAAAAGTTACCATGAAATAAGGTTTGTAAATTTCATTGTGAAAACATTAGTTTGGTACTGACCTTAATTTTCATATATCCCGTAAGTGAAAACTAACATTTTTTTATGTGAGATTTGTAGTGGAAGTTTCATAATATTTTACTGTAAATTTGATTAGTATCTGTACATGACTAAGTTATATGTTCCAAACTCCAAGTATATTACTCATGAAACATGTCGATTGTGGTGTTTTCCTTTTTATGAAGATTTCAATAGATTGTTGAATCGAATTCCTTTACTTGTTAGTACTACTGTCAAATAATGTTGTGTTTATTAGTGTCCATTATAAAACATTGTTAATACACATTCAAAGATTCATCTCCTTCCTATTTGTAGCATTTGCCGAGTGTCAATCACTTCAACCTACTATCAATAATTGAGTCCTTTGTTGTCTATATGATATTTTCTCGAATAGATAGATGGAATTTTGTAAACTATTTTGGCATATTGTAAGTATTTTTTATGATATTAGTTGGTATGTGTGGAATTAACCATCCATTTCCAAATACTGTAGTCTGTGTGTTAGCAGGTTGATGTTAATGGGATTATTTTATATAATGCATATTAAAGAAATTGTAGATTCTTTTGTCACATGCACTAATTTTTGTAGATAAAGTGAGCAGGCCATAAATGTGAAAGCTGCTAAAAATAATGCAACAGAAAATGTGCTTTGATTTGCAAAATTTTGGAATTTTTCAATTAAAAGAATTGATATCAATATTGAATTTTAGCTCATTGATCATGTCCCAAGAACATAATAAAGGCTTCATTAATTAGCAATTTTCATTCTAATGAAGCGTAATAAACATTTTAGTGTGTCACCAATTTGATGGCACTACAGTATGTCGCCTACTATTACCAATTTTTTATGTGATTAGGTTGTGGCAATTTTATGTTTAATAGCATTTTGTGTAATTTTTTTGTACATGTTGTACAAAAAATCTTAAGTTTGTATTGACTGTACAACTAATAAATGGTTCCTTTAGTGCCATAAAGCAAATGTTGTCTTCTGAAGAGTATGGTTTGTGTGTTTCTCTGATACATTTCTGGATTAACTAACTTGCACTTTTATTTTATGTATCTTCGAAAAAATTATTCATAAACTTAAACTCTGTTATCGAGTCAGTGTTTACTACCACTTACAACCAAATAATATTAACCAGACAATAAGGCCAAAAATAAAAAATTATTGTGTTGGCCACGTTTTGGGAAAATCCAAAAAATGGGTAGGTCGGTAGGAAAAGTTAAATTATTTTTTTTTTACCAATAATGTGTTTATGCTGAAAAAGTAAAAAATACACAAATGTACAACAAAGATCATTTTAAAATCTATTGAAGAGCAAAACATAGCATAACACTGTTGCATCGCCTACCGTCGCAAGATAGCCTATTCCAGCCTTTTTAGCTTATTAAAAAAAAAAATATATCGACCCTCAATTTCGGGCGTGGCCAACACAGTAATCTTTTTTTATTTGGCCTAAATCAGAATATACTGTAGGGAAAAGTTTAGTGATACTATGTTTATTTACTGTATTACATTTTTATTTATTTATTTTTTTTTTCTGTTTTTCAAAATGATTCCTGGTCTGACACTCAGCACCTTGAGACGATTTTATTGTGGAAGGCTCTGTACAAATATTTATCTTGCCATTTAATTTGAAACACTTTATTCATCTGTTGTATTTGACTTTACAATAAATTATACTAATAAACGACATGTCATACATCATCAACAGACAATAGTGCTAATACCGGTTTATATACCGTAATACCAGTCAATTGTATAGCAGACAACTACTAAGTTGTATATTAAAGCCAGGCTCTCGAGGAAAAACATTTTTTGATGTAGATTTTTGAATACAGTATTTAAAAACTGGGGGAGAACAGGGTGGTTACGCCCGTTTTACCTCCAGTTTTTAAACATTCAAAAATCTGTGTCTCAATCACTACCCGAGTTTTTTTGTCAAATATGGTTTTTGTCTTTAAAAAAAATCAGTTTTAAAATTATTGTTTTCCCCTCTGGAGCCTGGCTTTGAGAGCTGAGTACTGTGGTAAGCCATGTATATACAAATTAGAATGAAAGAGTGCTATTGTAATGAGTTGATTGTTAAGTGAAGGGTTCCCCAAGCAAGGTGAAGGGCTTCTTTCATTTCAAGTTGATGCAGTATATGAATCAAGAATAGTGAAACAGTCTGAATTTGATGGTGTTGTAAAAATGTGTTAGGGCTTCTCCCGAACCCTGTGCTCCTTTTGCCGTTTCTAGGTGTCTATTGGTTTTACCAATATAATATGTTATACCCTGCACAAGTAAATTTGTAGACAGCACAGCTCAGAGATTAGTTGAGACATAGTCTTGTACAGACATTTGATAAATATTTAAATTTAATAAATAATTAATATTTAAGTCTGTAATTGGCAATGTTATACAGTATTGTTCGTCTTCATATAATTAAAGTATCTAGATAAAATGTTGATACATACTCCAGAATAAAATAAAAAGATGACGACAACTTTATAATTTTTTCATCTTTCATTTTAATAGAAATGACTATTAATGTGTAACTGATTGCAATCCACCAGACATTGGCTTTTTCTGAGAATACGTTTCAATTATTACATATACACCGCTTGCTAAAAAAACTATAAATGAATGTAATATCAATAATGGGTTTACATAACCATGTAATAGATTGGGTTTAGTGAACTCCTTCCCATATGCCTTTGGTTAGGCTACAGTATAACTAAATCTGTTTACTCCATGAATGTATTTGACAAGCTAAATTCAATCTACTTTCTTTTAATTGTAATTGATATACTGTTACTATTAAATATATCATAAATAATTTTTGTTTTTAAAGAATGCATTGGATAAAGAAATAAAATCTGATGCTGATATTACAAAAAAAAGACAACAAACATTGAAACAATTAAAATATTTTTCCGTATTGCCTAATAGTTATATAAAGCCGAAACTCCTTACAATATTATTCATTACAATTTATTTACATTACAAGTTAACAGCAATGATACTCCACAGACTGGAGTGAAGTCTGCACTCTCATTAAAATTCAACCTTTTTTTTCTTATATTCTGTTAATCTACCAAACTACAGTCTGAGTAAGTAATTTTACTGTTATTATCACTAGGCTGTCTCCCATTGGAGCAGACAATGAGATTCCAGGGGGTATGCTGGTTTAAGCCTGTGGGGAGGGGGTACGAAAATGGTAATGCAAAGATTAATCCAAGAATCCACAATTAAATCCCTATTCCAATGACAACTTAATGGTCATTTTTAGTATTTTAACCCAATGGAACTAATTTGCTACCATGGGGTTGGAAAGGTAGGGTGTATCATCCTACCTCCCTCCCCAGCTACACCCATGAATTCCGTAAACTAGGATGAGACATGCATGGCAGGTCATTTACGACGACCTGCTTAGATTGTCATTGAAAATCAGCAGACCACAACTGCTCCAGGCAAGCAATCTCAACATTAACACATTAACGGTACCTCTCTAACTGACAATTATGAAATGAACTAAATAGAAGACATCAAGTATTATTTTTGTGCAAGACTGTATATAGTGATTTTAATATTCAAAGCACTTGTGTTGTTATTCCTGGAAATTTGCTTAATAATATTGTTATC